GAATATTATTTTTTAGTAGTATTACTCCTGTTACCTGGAAAGGACAACAGGCCTGTAGAATCTATTTTGAAGGCTTTGTTTTTGGAAAATCCCTCCATGTATAAATATATATATATATATATATATATATATATATATTTGTGTTATGATATAACTGACTTCTCTGTTCGATATTTTGGTATTTTGTTTGATCCCATTTGAGATTTGTTATTATTTCTATATCTTGTACCTATATTGAAGTTTTTATGTTCCCTTCTGAACTATACATATGTTGTTTAAAATTGATACTTAATATGGCTACAGCCATATTTGGATTTGATACTCTAACAGTAACTGACTGGAAGCACTTATTCTTCAGGTAATGGAACCTATTGTGGTGGTTGGAAACTCGAAGGTGTAATATTGTTTTGGTAATTGTCTGAATTTCCCCTTTTGATTTAATATAGAACCGTTCTCTCCCGGAATTTTCGTTTTTGGACTTGGACTGGGCGGGACGCGTATGAACCTACACCTATCGGGTTGGAGCGGACTGCAAGAGTATATTATCATTTTATAAGGCCGCCGACCAGTATTCTCCAGCCTACTCTGTACTGGACTTCCCTTTCCAGTTCTTTCGAATTTTTGTTCATTCTTCTCATATCTTTCTCTGTTTCTATGCGTAATGTTCCCTTGGCCTTCCTCTTTCTCTTTTACCTTGAGGGTTCCAGGTGAGGGCTTTAATTATGACGCACTTTGCTGCTTTCTGTATTGTGTGTTGTATCCACTTCCACCACTTCTTCCTGATTTCCTCCTCTGCCGGAATCCGGTTTGTTCTCTTCCACAGTAGGTTCTTGCTGATGGTATCTGGCCAACGAATCTGTAGTATTTCGCATAGACAAATACTAATAAACACTTTTATCTTCTGGACGATGGCTTTCGTAGTTCTCCAAGTTTCCGCTCCATACAGTAGAACTGTCTTGACCTCTGTATTGAAAATCTTGATTTTGGTGTTGATTGATCTTTGTTTACAGTTCCAGATGTTGTTCACTTGTAGAAGTGTAGCTCTTGGTTTGCCCATTCGCGCCCTACCATCTGCATCGTATCCACCTAGATTTTCGAACGAAGGTTTTACAAATTCCAAGGACTATCTTGAATTAGTTGAGCTTTTCAGTATCCGAAGAAAGGCCGTATTAAAGTTTTGTGATTTTTTCTGCTCGATTGTCCAGTGTTTCATTTTTGCGACCAGCAAGTGGTGTTCCGAGGCTATATCAGCTCCTTACTTACTTATCACATCCTTCATTGTCCTTCTGAATTTGTTTTGGTAGAGATATGGTCGATTTGGTTCTAAATAGTGTGATTCGGTGAAATCCATGTAGCTTTGTTTATTCGTTTGCGTGAGAATATTGTGGCACTTATGACCAGTTAATTGAAGGCACTTAGGTTTGAAAATTTCTCACCGTTTTCGTACCTTTCTCCCAGTCTATGTCGTCCGGGGATGTCTTCATTTCCAAGGTTGTCCATACCAACACTGGCATTTAGATCTCCTGTCAGAACAGTCAAGTCCTTTGTTGAGTGTTTTTCAACAACTGACTGCAGCCTCTCGTATATATATATATATATAATATATATAATATATATATAATATTATATATAATATATATAATGTATATAATAACTACAACTCACATTTAAAGGTCGATGTTTCGTCTCCAATCCCACGCCCCACGGGCCCGCCCTCAATCAAAAAAGGGCTGCACGTACTCGCCCCAAGCGGGAACTTTCCAGGCCATTCCCAAAGTCGCCCTCGGAAGCGAGTACCTGCTGGTGCTGGTTCCACCAGACTTTTATGTCTGGTGCCCGTCACTGTCGAGCCCCCTGCTTATCCAGGGCGGGAAACTTCCAAGCCGACGAGTAAACGTGGCCGTACTCGTCGACCCCCAACCTGAGGTTGGTCGCCTATTTTACGTGCACGATATAAACACTAACGCTAGGTGCCTCGTTGACGCAGGTGCCCAAGTTTCTATCGTACCCCTCTGTAGCAGCAAGTCCCAACCTATGATGCTTCAGCTAGGCGCTACGAATGGCTCTGCCATTACTACCTATGTTACACTACAGCTAACGATCAACCCGAAAAAATAATGACAGTATCTGTGGACGTTCATCACTGCTGATGTTTCCACAGTTATACCTGGTATCGATTTCCTTCAGCACTACGAATTTCTGGTTGATTCAAATAGGCTGCAGCTAATCGATATTTCGTCGAGCAGCAAATTTATGGGCTTTCGAGCCCAAACAGGCGCGTACCGTATTACAGGGGTATTTCATTCGCATGATGACATTCTCCACACTTTACTGGAAACGTTTCCCCAGCTAACTAAATCACTTGAGGAGAATCCATCGGTGACTCACCATGTGGTACACCACATCGTCACCAACAGTCACGTCACGACCTCGCCGACTGGCACCGGACAAATTAGCTTTCGCTAAATGTGAGATTGACAGTTTGCTGGATTCAGGTGTTATTCGTCCTTCTCACAGTACTTGGGCATCATCACTCCACATGATTTGCATAAAGGATGGGATAAGATGGCGACCATGTGGCAACTACCGAGCACTAAACGTTGTAACACGTTTCGATAGCTATCACATCCACCGGTCCTTGAAAACTGTCACACATTCTTTTTTCTGATACAGAGAATAGTCTGAATATCCCTACTAAACCAAGCAGGGTGGGGTTTGTTATTTTCTTAGATAAAAACCAAGGGACATGAGCTGCTGTTAACTTTTATTGAACGAATATTTTATTACATCTCAAGTCGTTTAATGAAGGATTGTGGTTCTAACAATCAGTGGTTGGTTCTCAGGCATATCGCCTAACTTCAGCTGACATTCTTTTATCTCTGGATAGCATATAAACGAGGTCACTCGCGCCCTCTCCGTAATGAATCAGTTTAAGTGATAGTACAGATGATTTGGAATCGGTAGTTGTTATTACATGTGACCTAAAGCACTCGTGATAACCAGGTCAAAAGGCTTTCAGTCCAAAGAATTTTCACACTTGGATTCTCTCAGTTTACTCTCTTTATATTAAAAACAAATCACTTTAAGTCCAATTGTTGATTTTGTCTATAAATAAATAACTGTGTTGGTCAGTCAGACAGACCGATAGTTCTTGTTCCGCACACTTCAGAAATGGAAAACAAGCACAGAAAATTCTTTTTTCTATGGAAATCTTATGGATTAGTGTGAATGGTGTGGTATTGCTTATGAATAAAGCATATTTTCTCTTCTTCTTTGCATGCATCGGAAAATACAGTAGATGAAACTCAATCAAAACCACATATATTATATATTCGCAGAAATCATCACACATGCTATCATTTCAAACGGTAAATGCAACATCAGTGAAGTCAGTGACTGTATCCAGTACCATTTAGTTAACTTGTTTGTTTGCCCTACTCTTGTGACCTTGTTGCATATGGCGAAATTATAAACAAGTAATCTCCTAAATGTTTATTGACTTTTTTTCTAATGCAGGACAGTCTTAATTGTTTTAAGCTATTTTTGTCTAAAGTAACATAAAAAATACTTATTTCATTGTTTTTAAAGTCGTGTATGTATGTATGTTAGCATTTGAATTTTTAGGATGTGTTAAACAAGTGCAGACTGCTACTTGGTTACTTCAAATGGAGTAGAAATGGTAAATTTGAAAGTCACAATTTTATCTCAATTAAACCTGTTTGTTTCATCAGTGTTTCGGGAAACATGTTCAATTTTTAAGAATTCATCACTTTGAAGAAAATATGTCCCTCATTATGTTAAGTCCTAGGCTACAAACGCTTATGCTTATAAGTCATAAAAATGAGGGACTGTACACCTGAATGAATCACTCTAAATATGTGCACTTAAAACCCGATCAAATTTTGTGAAGTTTCAGTTGGCCGTACAATGATGCGTACAAGTTTTGTCAGAAAACAAGTGTACGCGTCTATATTGCCCTGAAAAAAAATCGGTTTTCGACTTCATATGAAAGTCAGCCGACGAATTAACATCGTTTTTAGTTTTGAAACACTCACTGCTTTTTCATTAGTACAAAACTTTAGTTGTTCCATAACAAATTACTTTTAAATTAAAGATTGCGCTATGGATCTGTCTATGTAATATGTAAATTTTCTTTATTTTGTATATATGCTTAAATGTAAATATATGGGGAGTAAACTTTCATAATTAATAAGGGAATCAGAGTTAAAATTGAAAAGGGTTTAAGTGTACAATATTCTCATAAACATGACAGTGTCTAATAGCAAGTTACGGTTTTTTGTGTAAAGTTTTTTTGGGAATAATAAAATATTTTACTTTCTGACTTATTGTTAGGTTTAAAGGGTTTATTCTTTTATCCTACTAGGCTTAATAAAATAAAAGTTTTATTGTTTAAAAGTGATCTAAACGAAAATAGATGATAAATTAAATTGTAAGCCGTATATGGATTTGTATAGTTACTGTTTCTGAACGCGTATCGCACAAGAAATCAGGAAGTGACTTCACAGTTACAAAATAAGTAAGACCTATCTTCACTGTTTATCTTCTGTTTTCAGCTCTTTTCTTTATTTTTTCGTCCAATATATTTCTTGTATTTCTGCAGTGAAATCCGCTTCTTAGCCACAATAAATTATTCATGGGAACCTACCAGGTTCTTTTTGCCTTTTTCGTTCTCACAGTAGCCATACCTTCGTTGGTTTTGCATTTCTGGTAACCATAAACTATTTGACTAGTTATTTTATTCCAACTGTGTATGTCCACCGTAAAAAAAGTGCAAACTCATGGAAAGAAAGAAATTATAGATCATTTGGGCCTCATATTCATCCACTTTTGTTTTATTGACGATAGTCCATACTTTGGCTCCTTGTCAGTGTAAACAGATTTAAACGATCACTTCCAATCTATATTTATTCAAGAATCAACAATAAATATCCGTTTAGACTGATCAATATATTTTCAGAATCCGGGTGGTTCAATTTTAAATGGAGATCTTTAGACTTGGAGAAGTTGGACCTCCTAAAGATGAAGATTTTCAGCGCTTTAAGACCTTCGTTAAGGATGAAGCACATTGGAAACGACGTCATAAAAAGAAAAATATAGAAGTTTTTACACGCTCAACTCCGCATACTAATATGAAGATGATCAAAGTTGTAGCTATATTTCCAGATGTATCATCGCATGTGATATATGATATGTTGCATGACAATGATTACCGGTCATCATGGGACAATACTATGAAAGAGTCTACTGAAATTTGTCGTATAACATGGAACTGTTGCATCGAACACTTCGGATGTAGGTTTTCATATTTTATAACGTTTTTAGTCAGAGCGCCGTTCGCGTTTGCAAATCGCGATTTTGTTTTGTTGCGCGCGTGGCAAGCATATGAGCATGAATACATAATTTTCAATAGGTCAGTATTCCACAAGGTAAAATCGTTTGGTCTTAACTTCATTGTATAGAAAGTACCTCCGCGATCTGACTATGTGCGCGCCCTGACATTCATTACTGGTTATGTTATCACTGCCCTTAGTCCTGTATCATGTCAGTTAATGTACTTAACGCAAAACGATCCGAGAGGTAAATAACCCTTTGGAATTTGAGTGTAACTTGTAAGTTAAATGAGACTAATCGTCCACTGGCTTTTTCTGTTCTAACTTTAGTTAAAAGCTCTATATCACGCATAGTGCTTTCTTCTCATATTAAGGAGGTGAATTTTAGGAAAGTATCAACTTAATATTAGTGATAATTTTTAAAATGAATCCTAAATATAATTTGTGAAAAGTGAAGCATATTAAACTTTCACTTTTGTTTTAAATATAGTTTAAAGAACGGACGTAACAAAACGTTCTGCTTCTTTTTCTTTAAGTTAGGCAAAGTAAGAACTACAGTTTTTGTAGAATACTCCGCATCACATTATTTCTCTGGCTACGCACAAAGTTCCATTTCTCTCTTTGCATATTTTGACTCTTATGATACATCAAAAGATGAAAATATCTCATAGTGTTAGAAAATAACTCGTCAAAATCGAAAATGTGTAGGAGTAATGCTACATACTTTCCCGAAGCTGCATTATTGTTAGATTTTTGCCTTTAAGACAAAGGATGACCATGATATTTAAAAGCTTATTTGTTAACAGTTTATCAGATATTCACTTGGAGGTTAATCAAGGTTTGTCCTCTTAGTAGTTTCTTCTAATGTGATAGGAGAGACCAAACTATTCTGCTTAATTTAGTTAACAGTCGGCAGACTTTGCTAGATTGATTCACAGTTTATTTTTGAATCAATTTTTAAAGCCATTTTAAGGTGTAATTCTATCTAGGTAATATTGTAGTAGAATATTAAACTCAAAATATCATTTTTGTAGGATTTTAAAGTTTTCTGTGACAAATTTTGTTTAGAGCTTTCTAGGTGTTCCAAAGAACAAAGGGAATAGACTGATGTAAGGCACCGAAGAGGGGGGACAAACTATCTGCTGACTAGTCACTAATGTGAGAAATGTTTTGAAGAGTATATATCCTTCGCAGTATATAAAATGTTCCGGTGCCATCCACTAAGCTGTTGTGTTCAGATGACCACTAAGTTGTTTGACGGGTATAAAGTTTGTTATAACTGTTTTCATTTTTCCGTCATTGATATTAAGGACTGAATTAGCTCAGGATCAGTGTATCTCAGTAGAGAAGTAACTTTCAGTCCTTCAACAACAAGCAAATTGCAAACCCTTACAGATGTGCTTAATCAAACCAATTGTGTGAGACCATATTTAGTCTAGGTTGTTACCTATTCACATTCTTTTATATTAAGATTAGTGGGTACGTAAACAGCAAAAGTAGATTGGGGTTGTCAAAAATAAGTAAATAAATTCATTTGAATGGATTATGAACCTGTCTGATATACAGATCAACTACCATCAGTTTCTAACATTTACATATAATTGTAGTTTATAGAGGGTTTATTGTACACCATAAACAAAAACTCATCTTAAGCATGAATAATGTTCAGCAGACATGAAATCGTCGACATTAAAGTCTACTGTTTAAACGAAAGTTCGGAAAATAAAATGTTCATTCTGTGTTAGAGTTACGCACACTGTTTTCCACATAATTGAAAACTGATTGTTTACATCAGTGTATAAGAGTGAGAATTAAAAAGGGGTAGTAGTGTAAGCAAGAAATTATTAAGTTCGATATGATGCTCAATCAATATTCACAAAGATGGATTAATCATCTGGATATTTTTCAGGGCTTTTGGACAATTATTTGGCTATCATATCATCGTTTGTAATCAACTTTCTAGTCTCTACTTAGTTGTATCAAATGTCGATTCTACCTTGTAGACTAGGTTTGATAACATATCATCTGCAGTTGGAACTAAGTTCCTGTTTTAAATAGCTGGCTAAAGCTCAATTAGTGGCATAGTTTTTGTCCTTTTCTTTAACAGTAATGTATTTTTGAGATGGCTTTTTAGTTTACGAACAGAAAAAGTTTAAGAAATACTGAAATATTTTTGAAACTGTAAATAAAGAAATATCGGAGCTTAATATGCGTTTATTTACTGCTACAGATCTTCGCTCTAATTTTTCCTCTATTTTAATCTTCAGGTGACATTCCTTCATGGGCAATAAACCTTGCAACCACAAAGGTGGCTCCACGTCTTGTTAAGTCGCTTCATCGAGCTGCTCTTTGTTATCCAGGTTGGAAGGCTCAAAATCGTCCAGAATTTAAACCTTGGAGAAATCCAAGCCAGCAAAACAAATCAGTACCTGAATTGTGTTATAGCGATATATTGAGAGAGCCGGATTTCTCTCTGAAGAAGGTTCATGAAAAACATGTGAGCAAGGAAAAAGCTTTTAAAGAAGTTGGTTTGCCGGTTGACACGCAGTTTGATGAAGATAGCTTATAGTCTTTTATTTTGTAATGCGCTGTGCTTTTTTACTTTCAGAGTATGTTATACGACCTACTATATTATTTGTTTCAATCAGGTTTACGGTTTGATTAATTGGTTATCTTTAATTATTTACGCCTTATTGTTATTCTATTGATGTTTCGCTATGGTGTTCAAAAATTTCTTGCAATAAGATATACCTCGAGGATAACATATCTTTGAATTTTAAATCTCTGATTTTATGAATAGATAAACTCAGTTTTTTATAATTCGTTTCCCATTATCTTTGAAGAAACTTCCTGCCTAACTTGGATGTATTTATTATAATTAGTAAAACGCTTGTTTGGTATTGCATAAAAATTTTTGTCCTTCACGCTGCTTTAACTAATCCAACTGTAGTGTATTTTTAGATTATCTTTTAGTGTAAGTAATGAAAAAGTTTGAGAGACTCTATAATCATTTTTAAAATTGAAACCAAAGAAATATTGATGCTTAATGTACTGAAATTCGACTTATTTATACTTACATGTATTCCTTTCGACAAGAAATGAAGGTACGGGATAACAATCTTGACCAACAAAACCATGGAAACTCAACAATTTAATCATCTAGTTCACTGAGTAAATCACTTGTAGTATACTCATCGTGGGTTGAAAATACTGACCATCATTTTAGCTGTGATTATCCATGCTTCTGTAACAAAATAGACCTATTTTACGAATGCTGCCTACTGGGTAACAAACATCAAAATGATGCAGCTTAAACTTAAGAATGCAATAGTTATAGAGTTTAAATACGATTTCCAACTGGTGCCTTCTTACTGTCAGTAACACATAGTAGGATTTGTCCAGCCAGTTAGCTTCAATAGTCATAATAAATGCAGTTATAGTGATGTTATTTTACTTGTGATAGTACTCCTTAGTCTTAAAACTACTTAGGGCACTTATTGTGTCACTGGGCAATCTACGATTTGGTCACATTTCATCAAAATGAATGATGACTATGAAGATGTTGATATTAAGCTAGGCTAATACGAATAAGGTACTATTTGATAACATTAATATCAGAAACTGTTGTTATAAAATTTTACTGATGTCAACGAAGGCGAAGATAGTGGTTATGTGTAAGTAGTATTCTGATTTATGCAGAGGTGAAATAAAGTGCAATTTACATGCTAAATAGTTGTCGAGGTGGATGAGTTCAAAGACGATTTGAGATGCAATTTAGTGATGGTGCCTCAGAGTACCTTCAAACAATGGTATGTCTGGTAGAGCCAATACGATCAGCATCAATATCAAATACAGAAAAAGCTATCTATTTTCCAGGGATTACTTATCACTACGATGATACGGTGTGGCGAAAAATGAAGTGAGCACATTCTAGTTCGTCACGTAAGAGAGAGAAAGTTTATGAGTTTAGTGGAAAGTGGTTTTACAAATTCTTCTAGCGATTTTACTGGCGATGTTTACTAGTGAGGATGTCAAAACACCCATTTATCGACTTTCATGTTTTTTAAGAACCGAAAACCAAAAGTGGCTCACCATTTACCTTTTAATTTATCAACCTTATCATTATGATTATTACACATTTGAAATCATCAATCAATCATTGTTAGACCGTCATTAGAAACCTGGAAGCACTGGACGACCGTTTCGTCCTGGTATGTGACTCATCAGCAGTGCGCATCAACGACTCCTGCACCTCGCAGGATTCGAACCAGGGACCTTCGATATTGTGCGCGAACGCCTAACCATCGGACCACTGGGTCGGCATACAACGGTTTTAACGGCTAACTCTGACTGATCTACAGATTTTGTGCGACCTCACCCATTTGTCTTTGGTAGTTACTGCCTACACCCGACAGGGTTGAACCCCAGTGGTAACGTCTTCTCAACTAGAACTCCGAGAATTTCCTCACGAAGCTAATCACCAGTGAGCACTGTTACGATATTTTATGCAGAGTTCTGGAGGTTTGTGTTTTTACACATTTGAAATCATCAATCAATCATTATTAGACCACCATTAGAAACCTGGAAGCACTGGACGGCCGTTTCGTCCAGTTTCGACACATTTTTCATTATGAATTATCATTTAGATTTTGGGGTGCAACCTTAAAATTAACATAGCAAATGTAAAGGGACAACCATATACCGTAGAAAGCTTTACAAGCTTTGGTGACTATCATGATCTAACTTATGAATAGTACTGAGGTTTAGCAGTCAGAGCTATTTTGAGGGTTGTATATTACAAAGACTACTTCCCTGTACATCATTCGTGCTTCATTCAAAATGCATTACTTTCGTTGATGTTCACCTATTTCTTTCTGAATTCAATACTAGTCCAGACGTGATAGCTAGTGCATGAATAGGACATTTGTGGGTGTTGCTACTTCGTATACGGATTATCATAGCTATATAATCTATTAGGAGCGATCACAAATTATTATAAGCCTAATTAACATGTCTGCAACAAGCAAAAGGAAAAACGGTCAGTTGGATAACGCGTAGAGATGAACATAATTGGGTTTTCTTTCACAAGCAGAAGAAACAAGACACCAAAATCAAATAGTTTTTTGTTAGTCGTTAACTAGTTTCTTTCCCACTGGATTCGCGATTTAGAAGTCTAAAGATAATCAAAGTGGTGACAAACATTCAGTCATTGAATTACTTTAGGCAGTATGCTCTAGCCATCTTGTCTCTGAACACACCTGATACAATTTTGTTTGATCGATCGATTTACATTTAACATTGATTAATTTGTTGTGTTCTGTTGACTGAAATGAGTGTTTCGTAGATGAACTCGAACATTTCATTGTTTAGTGAAGTGGAATCCAATGAGCATTCAAAGTATCAAGTGTGATTTTATCACCAAGAGTAGTTAACAAGGTATTTGACTCACTAAGAAACCATAAGAAGTTCTAATTATATGCAATGATGTAGGTTAAAATACCTCATTTATCAGCTGATGCTTTGAATTGTATGGAAAGAAACCTTAGGTGGTAGCAAGCACAAATCAAGCTGTGGGTTGTCTTCCTCTCTTCGACTGCTTTATATCTAGTTTACTTTATGCACTAATTTTTAAATTTAGATTGTCTTGCTAGATTGATAGTTTGGGATCTGAAGAACATTTCTAAACTGATAAACAGAAGATTCAGAGAGTGATTATGAACCTTACGTCTGAATTGTGCTGTTTTCCTCACGAGATCCAAGTTGAGTTGATTATAAAATATTGCGGTAATTGCGGTTTGAAATTTAAAAGTGTTTTTAAACAGTTTTCTTTGAAGAAATCGTCTATTTCGAACTGCAGTAATAAACACCCGCTTTTACATTTATCTAGTGTGGTTTACCTGAAAAAGATCTTGATAAGCATATGTATAGGCGTAACTGCACTTGTTGGTACAATAACATGAGGAATCAGAAGTATGATTAGTTGATAGACGAATAATAATTGATAATACAACTTTCATGTTTGATACGTTTTAACAACTGATCACAGTAAAATAATATTGTTTTATGGAAAAAGTAGCAAGTAAGGGTTTGGTAATGACTCAGAGAATTATAATTGCATAATTTTTCAAAAGCCATTTAACGTTTACTCACTTTAAGAAGAAATGCTAACAAGTTTCCCATGTTAATAACATTGGAATTTATCTTCCATATAAGCAAAAAGAAAATCACATCCTGGTATCATGCTTATATTTATCTATTTTATAGAAGGTTCGAAAATATGAAAGTCGTAAGCCACCATCTCATTCCATCTCAATAAAATATACTGATGATAAAAGTTTCATTTGAATATTTTATTAAATTTCCAGCAGTGTGTATATAATACTCTTATTTTGTGTATAGAATTTGTCTTCACAGTCTATTGAAAGTTAGAAAAAGAATATATATAATAAATTTTGATCGAACGATGTATTGTTAATAATTTGTTAAATAATGAATAAAATATTTTTGAGTTAAATTTAATTGAAAATTTAAGTAGAAAAATAAAATGTGCCTAATTAACTCTTGGGTGTTTACTTTTTATTAAAAACTAATGTACAAGTAAGTAATATTTGTCTATACGTGAAATGTAATTAAATCATGAATCACTCATTGTTAGAACACCATTAGTAACCTGGAAGCAATGGACGGCCGTTTCTCCCCGGTACGAGACTCATCAGCAGTGCGCATCCGCGACTTTTGCTTCGCACAGGATTCCAGCCCAGGACCTTGGGTCTTGCGCGCGAATGCCTAACCTCTGGATCACTGAGTTTGACTTTAACCAATCTAGGAAATTTGCCCGACCTCATCCATTTGTCTTCGGTAGTTACTGCCTACATCTGACAGCGCTGAACTTCAGTGGTCATGTGTTCTCACCTAAAACTCCGAGAATTCCATCACGAAGCTAGTCACTAGTGAGCACATTCATGATTTCAGTAATAAACAACAATCTTCATAACTCTATAATCAAAAACATAATGAAGATTATGTTTGATAGAAAATAATAATTGATAATTTATATGTATGTTCTAAACAAATTATAAAGATAATAATAACAAATTTTATTTAGTATAATAAAATTTCATTAGTGAGTAGTACTTCTTTTTGATATACACATATATGTATCATATTCAAAAGGTAGAAATGAGAATCGATGTTTCAAATGAATATTTTTCCCTGAATTCTGTCGTTACTTGTTATGCTCAATTATGTCGATATAGTAGTTCATACAGAAAATGTTTGACTGTTGCTTTTTGTAATAAATTAGTAAAAACTATTTTTTTTGTATTTTATAAACTTTTTTATAGATGCATGAAACCAGTCTTCATTTTTTCAAACGTTTTCTATCCCACTGATGAAATGTAGTATATTTCTTTGAAATAAGTTAACGGAAAATTAAAAAAAAAATTATTTTATTTTCCATTTCTTTTATTTCTTATTTTACCATATAGGAAAAAACCTTAATTCCTAGGATTTATTTAAAATTATTAGTTATAATTTACTAAATTTTGAATACCGCCATCAAAACATTGA